ACTGAGTCAGGCAAGCAACATATCAAATACAATATGTAAGAGTCTGGAGTAAACAAGATTATCTTGAGAGGAAACTAAAGCGAATTTGGTAACAATCTAAATAACTAACTTTGGATTTTTCAAAATCATATTACTTTGGTAGGGACCTAGGAAGCTTCTCAAGTAGTTTTTTGGGGAGAACGGACAGTGCCACGTCTCTCCACCTGAAAAATACGTGACCCCTTCTCCGAAAAAGTTGGAAACCGCTAATATCTGCAAATCTAGGCGGCGCGAGTATCCATCCTCAATTCACCGCGCCGCCGAGGATCGAGTTGATGTTCGCACACGAACAGGACTCAAGCGTGCCTGGAAGCTACGAGCAGCGGTATCTAATTCTAGAAGGGCACAGCTGCGGTACGGATAATACTACAATCCTGACCATGTAAAAAAACTATTTTTAGACTGGATGCTGGAGGCAGACCGAAAACTGAAGCTGTGGAGGCGACTGCCTCTTGAACTCCATCCTCTTCTGAAGCAGTTCGCCACCCATATTGAAACGAGAGTAGTGAGTTCAACATAAACCTAGCCGAATTTTTAAGGTCATCGAAATGATTTTAGCTACTCCCCGACCTCGGTTCTGAAAAAGGGGAGATTGTCGTGCTAAGGGGACGAGCCCACTATGAATCTTATATAACCAGATTCATGATTGTTGCTATGCGGGCTCGGCAAAGGTCAGTGAGCATACAAGAACAGGTTTTGTTTATTAACCACTGTCTTCCAGCACGAAGGCAGGGTTGTCCGCATGTACAGTACCGTCGACTTCCATTTACCTGCTACGCTCCCCTTCGTAACACAGATGCTACTCTCCCTGCACCAAAAAGAACAAAAAGCCCTCAGCCACATAGCATGAATTTGAGATTAAACATTACATGATCATAGGCATGGTCATCCGTCCAGCTACTGCGATCGCTGATACCTTCAAGAAACCTACTATTCTGTCCGCTCTTGGCAACATTCGTCTGACCTTGGTAACTGCCGCTATTCCTAGCCGGCAACTGCAGGAAAGACAGCCCACACAACACCTACACACTACGAATAACAATCTACATACCACACGCTAACTGCACAGTACATACTCCAAAATACTTACACCCTACACACCAAACACCACGACGAGGTCATACCACTACGCGCTACACACGATAAATTACGCACAGCGTAATACACTACAGCACACCTACATACTACACACTATTAACCAAAAACAACATAAGAATACACTAGGCACTACAGACTACACAGCACACACACTGCATACTACATATTACACTACGCACCACATACTAAACATATATCAAGCACATGACATATATTATGCCACACATACACAACGCACTACACCCTTCATGCCACACACTATCCAATACGCACCACACGTTTTCCACATTGCACACCATGCACAAACGCCGTACTACACGATACACTACAAACCACATGACGCGCTACACACACACTGGACACTGTTCATAACATTACAACACACTACCTGTACACATTATACACTCACCAATGCACATACTATACACCACCACACATTAAATGATTACTACACTCCATAGCATACATACTACATACTACACTACCACTGCATTAAATATCGATATACACTGCACACTACACCGACACACAATCTACACTACATGCCACACACTACACACTACCAAGATTCTCCACAGTGCTCTGCACAATTTACTATTACACAATACACACTACGTAACATCCACTACACACCATTTACTACACGCCATTGCATACTACACGATACATACAGAACAATACACACAACATGCTACACATCAACTACTACTACACACTGCACCACACAATACACCATATTCAGCGGACACACATTACACACTACACGCAACACACTGCACACTACACTCGATAGACTACATACCACACACAGCACACTACAGTCACCACATCACACCACACT